GATCCTGAACAGTTAACCTTATAACATATATATATATATGTACATATCTACATATATATACACATAGATATATATATATATATACGTATGTATGTATATATATATACATATGTATGTATGTGTATATATATATATATCTGTCTCTTTCTTTTCTTTCTGCAGGGCATAGGGGGATATATATCTGTCTCTCTCTCTCTCTGAATCTCACTCGCTCTTTTGTGCCCTTATCTTTTAGTCAAGCTAGAATTGTAGATAATGCACAAGCAGACCGCGCATGCTCTGATGAGCAACTGGGACCAGACAACCTGTTGGACTACGGTATCACATCACCATTCATCAGTCGTGCCTTGCAACTTAGGGTCAATTTCGGTGCTTACACTCGGACAAGGGTCAATTGAGGTGTAAAGCGGGCGTTCTGCAACCCTTTGCACGAAGCACCGAGATCAAGCTACAGCAGATTCAATACGAGCAGCAAAAAGCCTGTCACAGCATCCAGTTCCCCAATCCACAAGAGTCTGTGCGGATGAAAAGGGTCGTGTTTGGAAACAAACACCAGAACTGGCACAGAGCACTATGAGTACTATGTTACTATGATGTACACATGCTAAATGCCGTCACAAGCCTGCGATTTCGGTGTGAAACTGCAACTTGGTGCAAGGAGGACGGCGGTTCTCACTACAGTCCTGCGTAACTTGCAGATGGTGTGAAGAATTTGCTTGTTGCTGACATTCGTCTTGCTCTGTGTCTCGCTGCTGCTTGTTCTGCAAAACCTGTCCCTGCCTCTCAGACGGACATTCAGTGCATGTCCAAACATAAACGCAACACCTCCTTTTGGTCAGTGTTTGGGCAAGGAAGGTCACCACAGCCAGGTCAGCCTTTCAGCATCTTGCCGGTGCTACTACCAGCTTCCACCCGCACCTCCTCCACCGTCACAGGATCCACCTCCAAAGCCACCAACACTGCTTGAGTCCCGGTTCGGGGTGTGCACATGGAAAAACCCCCTGTCATCATGGGGCAAAGTGCTGCTGATGTCGGACGAAGACAGGCCATCGAAGTGGGGCAAAGTGCTGCTGGTGTCGGACGAAGACAGGCCCTCGAAGTGCTGCTGCCACAGCTCCTGTTGCTCGGACGCCCCGAGATCTTGGAACTGCCGGTCTAAGGCTTCTCGGAGCTGCCGCACTGTATCTGCCGAGGCCAAGTTGAGAACAACCGGCGCTGTCCCTGATCTCAAGCGAGGACCGTCGGCTCTGCATAGAGGACAGGTGCTGGAGTGGCTTAACCATTTCGACACGCAGCGCTCATGAGCCAGATGCCCGCACCTTAGCAGCTCGACATCGCCAACCACGCCTGTCTGCCTCTTGGGGTCGAGAAAATCCGTGGCACGTAGGGCCTTGTCGCTCAAGCAATCCAGACAAACGGGACAGACAGTGGTCTCGAGGTTCTCACTGGACGATCTTTCAGCCAGTGTATCCACAAGCCGTTTCAAGCGGCTTGCTCGTTCAGCGTATGCTTGCTTTCGTTCACGGCATCGACGCCACACAATCCAAGCCCAAACGAAAAGGGCCAGTGTCACACCTAGAGCAATCGGCCTCAGTCGGCGCCAGACTTTCCGCCACCAGATGGCATTGACAATTCCGCGTGCCACCATTTCAACCGCTGCATCCACATCGCCATGCTTTAGACATCTGCTAGCATCCCCCAGTATGCTCTGGCAGGCGTCATCCGGCAGAAGCGTTCGTATTCCTCGCCCTGTCACGATGCGATGCTCCCGCTGCTGTAGTGCGAGAACGTACAGAACTCCGTCGTGGACCGTTTTGCTGCCGATTCCCCAAAAATCGAAGAGCTCCTTGCAGAACTTCTCGAAATTTGGCTGCAAAGTTCGCGATATTACCGCGAACGCGACTTCATGACTCGTGCCTTGCAAGACTTTGTCAACGGCAACCCGAGCGGCAGCCGCAAGCAAGCTTTCTGGATCTGCAATGCTGGAGGACGACAGCCGAGGGCTGGGAATACTTCCTGCTGTGTGGCCAAACATGCTGGAGGGTGTTGAGCCAAAAGCTCCTTGCTGCCATGCTCACGCTGCTGACTTCCTACTCTGGTCCACGGTCCGGTCCCAAGAAGCCCTGCCTTCTTGGCCAACTGCCTTTCGCGCTTCGCCTCCACGCGCCTGAAACCATCCCAAGCGGTAGTCGTGCCAGGTCTGGCCCGACTCAAGTGAAGACCCAACTTTGAAAGCTACAGCCTGGCCCTCCCGTGCTGGTGCCTCTCGTGCTGCTGTTGCACCACAATCAGCCGTTCCTTCAGCTCAGCGAAGGACATCTCCTCCAGGAATCCCTGGGCGGGGGCCTCAAACACAGAGGGCGCGGCACACTCTCGTGAACTGCAGAAGTTTGTCCGATCATGATATTGTTGCCCGAATGTACCATACTCACGGTTTCGGTGTTCACAGTCGTGTCTTCTGACCGATGACCGGATAGTCTCGCCTCAGCACGGTCGAAGACCTTCGCTGTCTCACGCGGAGCACGCTCCAAAGCTCGAATTTGGCGAATGAGCTCTTTCTTGCCTTCAAGACATATGCACAGGAGTTCTTTTTGCAGATGCGTCGGCACTAGCAACAGCTACTGCTAGGAGTTGCATCGAGGCCACGCTCCATCTCGTAGTCCTCTTCCTTTTTCTTCTTGGCCAAATCTACCTCCTTCTCTCTGCGTCGCTGCCTTTCGAAGCCGGTGCAGGCTAGGGCAACGCAGGAGCCGGAATAGTCGACAACTGCAGCGAGGCCGCTCAGCATGCTCCTGCTTGATTACGAGAACCTCCTGCTCAGCAATGCGGGCCTGGCCGCACCGAGAAAACATGACTCATGTACTTATGTGTGTATGAATCATGTACTTATGTGTGTATGAATGTAGCTGCAGCTAGACAGATAATTACATAGGTAGATCGATTGATCGACCAGCAGATAACTAGACAAACAGTGTGGAAAATTGACAAGGCTCTGTGTGTGTGTGTGTGTATGTGCGCGCGCGCGTGTGCCTACCCATGAATGTAGGGCTGTGTGCATGCATGTATGTACGGGTGTATGTTGCGCATGTGCGCATGCAAATATGTATGTATGTACATACGTACATCCATATCCACATCCAGATCTATATCTGTAGTCTGTGCGTATTTATATATGCACTTCGGCACACGTTCGTATAAGTATATGTAAGTGACATGCATGTACATGTAGATATGCACGTGCATGAACTGGTGCAGGTCTGTGTATGTCTGTGTATATGTATGTAACTAAGTACATCAATGTGCCTGTGTATTTGTACATGCTTGTGTATATGCATACGCATGTGCACATACATATGCATATACACATGTTGATATGCATGTAAAGGTGTACGCACGCACATATACGTTGAAAATACATACATACGCGTACAAGGGTGTGTATGCGTGTGTGGCGGCATATCTATGTGTGAATATGAAAACATGTCTATCTATGTATCTGTCTATCCATCTACCTATATAAATTTGCATATATATATATATTAATACTAATACATTAATATATATATATATAGATAGATATAGATATTGATTTGAATGTGTGCTTATGCTCTTACTTCTATCCATACGTATCTATCTATCTATCTATATACATACTCAATTTATTTATTTATATTTATATTTATATCCATGTATAGACATATAACTTCGCACCCGTATATATACATCTCTATATATATATATATTTCCATTTATAAATATATAACTTCGCACATACATACATACATATATATATGTATAAATATGTGTATGTATTTATGTATGTACGTACGCGCGTACGTATGTATGTATGTATATGTGTCTATGTGTGTATGGATATATATATATACATATACATATATATATATGCACATGTGTATATGTTTATGTATTTATACATGTCTTTATTTATTTATGCACGTACTGGTTGACTTATTTATATTCATATTCAGATATGTATTTATGTGTGTGTAAGTGCGGATGTATGTGTACCCATCTATCCCTTATAATGTGCACGCAGCACGAACAAATACTGCAATACAACATCAGTACAACATAATACAACACACCATGACGACGCGACATGTGGTCGGCGGACAAATCGGTAACCAGAGCGACTGAATCAGCAACCAGAACGGCTGAATCAGAAACCAGCCGTGGTTCAGAAACCAGCCATGATTCGGAAACCCCAAACTTCTGATTCGGAAACCACGACGGCCGATTCAGAAACCAGACCGACTGATTCGGAAATCACACCATGAATCGGAAACCAGAACGGCGGAATCAGAAAGCAAACGCGTCCTTCGGAACCAGAAGCCGTGATTCAGGAACCGTTGCCAGGAACATTGCGGCCGGGCAGGACTAAAACCTCAACGCTTCATTAGATTGTACAAGCTTAAGTAAATATAAAGTTGCAGTCGATTGTAGTTCGGATGCTCTGTGCTCAGATGTGCTCAGAACGCATAAGACCATGGACGTTAGCATGGTTGGGCCATGGATGCTCTCTGTCAGAATACATCAGACCATAGACGTTATCATGGTTGGGCGCTGAATGCTTTGTGCTTCGAACGCTTTAGACCATGGACGTTATCATGGCTGGGCCATGGATGCTCCATTGGGCCCTGGATGCTTTGTGCTCATAATGCATTGGACGATGGACCCCCCCTCCAAGGAGTCAGAATGCATCAGACCACGGTATCATGGTCCATGGATGCTCTGTTGGGCCCTGGATGCTGCGCCCCCAGAATGCATTAGACCATGGACGTTATCCGTTATCATGGCCCCCCTCCCAACCCCCCATGGAGAGTCAGAGTGCATCAGGCCATGGTGTCATGGTTGGGCCATGGATGTTTTGTCGGGCCCTGGATGCTTTGTGCTCAGAATGCATTAGACCACAGATGTTATCATGGCTGGCTCTTCTCATAACGCATGAGACCATTCCGTTATCATAGTTGGGCCATGCATGCTCTCTTCTCACCACCCCAGCATTGCTCCCGTGCCAGTTTCCAAACTCCGGTTTCTGATACGCACCTCCAGTTCCTGACATGCGCTGGTTTCCGATGCGCCGGTTTCTGATGCGCGGCGGTTTCTGATGTGGGGCGGTTTCTGATGTGGGGCGGTTTCTGATGCGCAGCTTCTGATGCGCGGCAGTTTCTGATGCGCGTCTGGTTTCTGATGCGCAGTTTCTGATTCAAGACCCAGTTTCTGACTTTGCAATGGATCCACGACATGCATGCTATAGCGCAATGTAACTTTAAATTCGAATTTGGCTAGATTAGATTGATTAGCTCAAACTGACAATCTAGCTACAGTGCAGTGTAGAAATAACCGCAATCATAACCTGCACACACGAAGGGGAAGAAGCATAGTTTGCTAAAATCAATTTTCGCCTTAGGTGTCTTCAAGCTGCACATGGTGCTGTGCAAGGCCTTGCCTTCTCTCTGTCTTCAGTTGTCTGCTCCACAACTTTCTGCTTCTGCTCGAGATCAGCCTCATACCTCCGTGATTCCGTGGTTGGTGCTGCTACGAACCATAAGACGACTTTCCCGGCCACTCCCACCCAAGGAATGTGCATGCTCCGCCTGCACACATCAAACCCAACCTCAACGAGTCAGCCCTGCAAACAATAAGTGCCTAGATGTGGAGTTTCGAAGGCCGATGTATGTGTCGCGAAAGAGCGTGGCAGCATGAAGGAGCCTTATGCCTTGAGCATGCTTCAGCATTGCCGGGCAAGACTCCAGGCATGGGGATTGGAAAGATATGCTCCCGAGAAAAGGGCACGCCTCACGGAACCCTTATGTCAGATCTGAGTCCAGCTGAACATGTGGCAGCTTTCGCGGTCTTGTCTCCACGTAGTTTTGGGCACCATGTCTCTGAACCTTCGTCTCGTTCTTACCCTTGAACACTCTACATAAAAATATCCCTTCTCTTCAGAGATTCTCTCACCCTTACCATCACAGCCACCATCGGCATCAGCTTCAACAAATGCTGGGCCTCCGGCTGCAGGTTTTTGAGACGTCCGTCGTTGAGTGTGAAGTGCAGACTGCACCCGCCGCCGCCAACCCCTCAACACCCAATAAACCCCAGAAGCTTTAACACTCAGTCAAGGCTCTCTCGTTCTTTGGCCTCCTCAGTCAACGCAAAGACCCAGCTTCGGCAACCAACCACTGCTGCAGTACAGCGCAAGCTATAGGCACTTCCATCCAAGGCACGAGTTGTACTTGCAGGTCTTTCTTCCTGTGCAATCATGTCTTTCAGGCTTAAGCCGCGTGTGGTCCCTTGCTGAAATGTATCTTCTGCCAAGGTGCTGAAACTCGGCTTGGATGGATTTCATCCTTGTTGCTGCTTCATGCGCTTCTGCAGCGACGTCTCTTGCCAGTTGCGTCTGGATGATGCGCTCCTTCGTGCGGGCCTCCTCCTCAAGAAAGTCCTTCCTTGGCATGGCATTTTATCTGCTAGTATCGAAGCCCTTCGTAGATTACAGAACAAAGAAGAGCAACAGCTTGCCCAGGAGTACAAATAATTTGCTGTCCGGGGTCTTCCTCATGCGATCCTGCCACGCGTAAAACTCTGAGGCATCATGTAGTTCAGCCTCATACTGTTTGAGCAAGTCGTGCTCCGCCAGCATTGTCTGTCTCACTCGAGCATCCTCTCGAAGGACTTGCGTGGTGTTCTGCCGCACCGTAGCATCCTCTGCTGGCATGATGCGTTTCTTGGATTTTGGCTGGAATGTGCACTCAGCCATGGTCTTCTTGTCTGCATCCTCTTGAAGCTGCATCCTGATCGTTTCATGGTCTCGCCGACCGGCGGTCTCAAAAATGAACTCATCGTCAACCGAGTACTTCGCAGCAACTCTTGCCTTCTCTTCCTCACGCTGCCTTTTTCTCGCCTCCTCTATCGCCGCCAGGCTTGTCCGATTGATGTGCGCGGGTACAGGATGCGCAGTCAAGTCCTTGAGCACAGAACTCTCCGGCTCAGGGATCAACCTGCAGAGGTCAGACAAGTGCTACTCGACAGTAATTCTTGTTGCAGTTCGGAACTTCTGACAGCAGTGTCCTCGGCTTCACGGCCGTGAGATTGAACGGCTCGAACTCGGTGAGTTTCTTGTCAGACTTCACTGTGCCGGGTCCACGCTGACCACCAGACTTTGCAACACCCGTCGCTTTGAGCTGAATTTCCTCCATCATCGGCTTCAAATCCTCGGCTCGGCGATGAAGTTTTCCAAGCACGTCCTGACGAACATCTTTTCTAGTCTGAGACACAAGCATTGACTGGTCCTGCCCGAATGGCGTCCCCCCGAAGGCTCCTCGTCCAAATATTCTGGGTCATAGTGCTTCAGCCATTCCTGCATGACCCAATTGTTCAGCTCTTCCCGATCCAGAGCATATTGCCTGAAGCCGATGCTTGCACGCCGCAGGTGCAACTTTCATTCACTTCAGTTTAAGATCGGAGGCACATGAGCGCGAAGATGGCTGGAGGACTTCCATAGCCACAGAAAATGAACTTTCGAAAATCTTGCAAGCCCATTTCATCAAGCCTCCCATCAAAGGACGGAGGTGAGACAACAGCTACTCACCATGCCAAACAATCATGACCCCACGCCTGAAGAAGAGAAGGTAGGCCAGGACTTGGTACAAGCTTTGCTCTGATCTAACGGCGATGGCTGGGACCCTGAAGGCAAAGCTCGTGACGAAAAGCTTCAGAAGCTTGCCATAGCGATGGCAGCCGTAGAATACTTGATGAATAAACTTGAGCTCCACGTCTCCAATCATGGGATCTTCCAAGAACTTGGCATCGTCCATGTAGGCATCTACCGTGGTGACTTTCGGGTTGAAAGTTTCCAGCAGCTTCACGCATTTTTTCCTCAGCTCGGTTGTGCGAAGGCTGTGTAGCTCACTCAGCATGCCGCCGCTGCCAATGAAAGCTGACACGAGAGAACAATCTGCCTAGCTTCAGAAGAAGCGTGCACTTGGCCGAAGCCTCTTGTGGAATGCCAGCGCTTAGCAACTCCACCGGTTCTTGGGACATCTTGCACCAAGCATTGTTTGATAACAGTGTGCACGGCTGAACCCAAATGGCTGCAGAACATGGTGCCTGAAGTCTTCGATGGCACGTGCACCATGAAGATCCCATAAAGGCCAGAAAGGACCCGACAGCACCCCTCCTGCATCCACGAGCCTGAACCGCTTGCGCATGCCGCAGGACAGTCCCCGCTGCAGTCCCACATGAAAAAAATTGCATGCACATGTAGAGCGGGGTCTGCAGATGTCCAACTCCACGGATTGTCTGCTCTTTGGCTCCGGCCGTCTCCCTGCAAACCATTGCCGGCAGAGCAAGTGTAGTTGTGGAGGTCCACAACCCCACCTTCGCGAAGGCGCCCGGAAGCCTCGTGTGACACTGACAGTGTCACCGGACTCTGTCTCCAACTAGGCTGGGCCCCACCTCCATCGGCAACTGAATTGGCAGTGGCTCGTCACCTTGTACTGTCGCAACAAGGCACTGCTGTCGGGAACCAGTACTCAACAGCAGGCAGGTGCAGCCCAGTTGCTGTACCGCAGCCACTGTGGACCTGCGGCTTCGAAGCCAAGACTTTGAGCACCGGCGTTTACCACGTTACTTACTACTAACTATTGTTGTTGATTGTTAGTTCTTGTTAATATTTATGTATTCTTACTAACTATTATTAATAATTATTAAGTATTCTTAAGTTGTATTCATTATTACTAGTTATTACTATGTCTTAGTAATTATTAATGGTTATTAATTATTGCTTATTAGTAATTGCTATTTATTATTATTTATTATTGATTGCTGTTTATTGTCTATTTTATGGATTCTTATTCATTATTGTTAATTATCCCTTCTCGCCTCCTGGTTGTTCCTCTGCCTTTGGCACGGCACCTGGGCCCGGGGTCCCGCTCCGCTCGAAAGCCAGGAAACCACAATGCTGAGGCATCTGCCAGGAAGGCTTCGCACCAGCCTCCTGCCAAGATCAAAATCAGGCCGCCGGCAGCAAAGCGCTGCATCGCGGGATGTCCTGCACATCAGGAGACTCCGCACCTGACCACGGGGTAGGAAACAGCAAACCCAAATGGTGTGTCAATTCTCGGGCTCTGGCAGCATGCTGCGCGGCAACCACGATGCTTGGTCGTTGCATCGACGACCGCCTCAGAAGGAGCTAAGCCCGGTAATGGCTTTTTGAGCTTGTCTGCTCCACACCTCCCCACACCAACAGCACCTGGCGTGACAAGCGGAGAGATGCTTGCAGTACACCAGCAGACAATGCCAGGAAATCCATGTAGCTAGGTCATTTCGCCTTCAGGCGGGGCCAGGCGCCTCAAATACAAAGCTCTGTGTTTCACAACTTTGGAAATTTTGATGACCCCCAAGTCTGCAGACGAGGAAAAGGCCGTGGGTCTGCAAAAAACTCTGGCAGGTGAGGCAAGCCCGCCTGAGTGCGCCAATTCAACATGGGTTCGAACCTCTCTTGCAACATGTCCGCTAGTCGTGTGAGCCGCGGAGCCTTATGCTGCTCCCACTCCTCACAGAAGACATCAACCTGAAGAACTTGCTAAGCTGTGCCGAAGGCAGTCTTTCCACCACTGCAACAGCGAGGGCAGCTGGGATCAACACGAGCCAAGCGCCAGCATCCTCTGCACACTGCGCCTGCGAAACATGCTTCTCGCCATGAGATGGCCAGGCATGCTTGCAAGATCGGCTCCTGCCGAACATGCTGCACTGCTTGCACATCACTTCGAAGCCTCTTGAAGGACTTTGCGCACTTGGGAAGCGGCAGCCTGCATGGCAGTCGAGGCCACCCTGCCGTCAAGCAAGGTCCGGGACAGAGCGACATTCTCTTACGAACACAACAATTAATAATCATTGGCCAGCTTCACTTGTGAGCAGCTGCATGGGCGAAAGGCGGCATGGCTTCTGCCTGAAGAAGCTATGCGCGCACACATACATGCACAGCGCAAAGTGGCGCATCCAGCTTGTGGCGGTTGAACAGTTGGGAGTTGTGCGTGAACCACTTCCAGCAGCATGCGCACCTGAGAAGAGAGCCGTCTCTGCTGTTACTTCAACAGCCTCCTCCAGATCACCGAAGCTTAGCCTACGGCCAGTGCCATGTACGGCTTTGGCCTTGGATGCCAGCCACCAGGCTCAACTTACTGGAGGGTTCTCCATCCTCTGCACATCGGTAGGATGGGGACTGCCAATTCAGACGGCCAGGAATTGCCTGCATGGCATCCGACAAGACGCAGAGAAAAAATGCGGCCCGGCCCGGTGCAAAGCCGTCCAAGCCTGGAAAAGCAAGGACAGGGGCTTCGGAAGTTCTGGAGTTCCCGAGGACGCCTGGCGAATCTGGCGAATCTCACGTTCCAAATCTCCTGCGGTTCTCTGAGCCTTGGAGCGGCTCTGTGAGCCCTTGGGCTCATGTTGCTTTGGGAGCAGCTGAGCCGTCCTTATGTTTACTTCGCTGGCGGGCTGGTGGACGCCGAAATCGTGTCACACCACGAGGTTAAGCTATGCACGCAAGGAACTCATGCGAGAAGACTTTCCTGGCGTCACGAGGAGACACATCACCGCTTAAGTCCGCAGCTGCATCGGCCAATCCCCGCACGACTTCACAGAATCTCCCATCCCAGCTGTCCACCAGACTCTAGTCCATATTTGAGCGATTGTCAAAAATTCCTATTCATGGCCAAACCATAGATGCTTTGGGGGGTCCTATCGCTGTACAAGGATTTCGTCACATGTTTCTGTGAGGTGTGGCTTTGCTCTCGTGAAAGTAAGAAGACCATCAGACTCACTGATCCTACTCGTAGCTTGCCCGGCCGTTTACTGCCATTTGCTGCGCTTTGCTGCTCTTTACTTCATTTTACTGCCCTTTACCTGCCCTATACTGCGCTTTTTCCATCAGAATGGGCAGTGGGTCACGAAACGATTCGGGTATCGATTGCCTAGCCACATATCACTCGGAAAATTAAGGCATACATGCCGCGGCAGCAATTAAATGTTACAACAGATGATCTTTGTTGATCGTATCGCTTTTGGGGGGTGCCACGGTGTCCTATGGCTTTCCAAGGAAATTGGCAAGATCCGGCATTCCACGGCCACCCTACTCTTAACTACAATTAGCGAAGTTTTGACGGATGGTCATGTAGACATCTGCTCGACATAAAGCTCCCTCAACAGAGCCTGCAGCCTAGGGTGTGTGCGAACAGGAACTTCATCGGTGGCTTTGCAGCCAATGCACGTAGCACGGAACCGTCTCCCAATACCATGTGTTTGACACGCTATATCCTAAGCCGGCATGAGTCCTCTTCACGGCGCAGCAGTGCACAACGGACACCGCTAGGAGGAAAGTGCGATCCTGTCGGGAGACGAGCTCTCCCCCTAGAATCCTCTCGCAGAATGTCAATAGGCACAGTGCTCGGCTTGCCGGACCACCAGACTGGATGGCCGCAAATGCCAATATGCATTTATGACGGGTCTCGAAAAGTGAAGGCCAGCTGCCTGGTATCTGAAAAGAACGGAAGCTACCGTCCCAAACACTCTAGCCGCTCTAGCCTAGCCCCACTCATCGCACCCACTGCCAGAACCAAACACCTGTGGCTCGAGTCCATAGCTTCACCATGTATCAGCCACTCGGCTGCGGATCTATTTTCGACCTTCCTGTGCCCGGCAAGGCTGACAAATGTCTTCTCAATGAGTCTCAGTCCCGTCTAGGACCATGTACAATGCTTTCGGCATGCACTTGCGCTGCCATTGCGACACTTCTATGAAATTCTATCACGACTGGTGCCGATCCGTGTTTGAACACGTCTGGAGTGAAAGGTTGCCCGGTCAGCTTTCTTAACCATCGTCTGCGTAAATTGGATTTCTGTACACTTCTTTGCTGACCAAGCAGTCGGCAGGGTGCTTTTGCAAATCAGCGGAAAACTCAGGTGGCAACCAATGTCCCAGATGTTCAACTATCATACCACTAAGCATGTTGACAACCTGAGAGGGTGGAAAGTGCGCGATGGCGCATTCAAGCTAGCCACAGTTCTATCTGTTTTGGTCTGTTCGTCTGGAAATGAAGTGCCTCATGGGCTGTCTGCTTTGCAGAAAACAACACTGAGGCACAGCAGCTGTGTCTGGAAGCAGCATGTTCTAAGCTAGGAACTTCTGCTGTCAACACCTGCCGCCGCGATCAAGAGCTGGGCCCATTGACCTTCGCGATAAAAACCTCTGCATGGATTGGACTGCAAGACAGCTTCACAGCCTCAGCTCTGAACCAGCATGACAGGAAAGCAAGGCATTTTTTTGTTCCGACTACTACTAAACAGTGTCTTTGCACGTCGCAGCTCAGTACCTTGAAAATGGGCATGTCCAGCTCGCTAACGTCCTGAGGGAGTCTTGGGTCCTGAGATCGTGGCTTGCTCTGGGCCCCATGGTGCAGATACCGACGGTTACCGAGACATGCCGAGTCGAGTGGCATTCGGCGAGCCCGCTGCGCGTGCTCCTGCCAAGCTTCGGGGACACGGTCCGCTAGACAAAATGCGTCTCGAACTCTCTGCGGTCCCGTAGCTGCAAGATCTTCTGGCGTGCCGCTTCTTCCTGAAAAGATGCAGGAACTGCTCCGTTTCGACTGCGGGCTGCAGAACTTACAGGAATCGACAAAGCTTGACCCAGCAATGCCCGCTCCGAGAGAGGCTGCGTGTAACAATTTTGTTCGTACACATAAGCCGGTTGCAACGCGAGTGCCAAGCCGGATCGACCTTTTCTGGTGGCTGTCATGTTGGCTGGGAGCCCCTATCGGAATCATTCTGTCACATCATGTGTCCGCCCTAGACCACGCTTGGGTAGATTAGTTGTGGCCCTTGTGGTACACAACTACTTGTTTATGCTTGTTTCACGTCGGAGTCACTATCCTGCGCTCAAAGAGCAAGGCACCCGGACAAGTTCCGCAGTTTCAATGCAGGCCCTGCTTTTTTCGCCACATGGGACCAAGAGTCCTCGTGTCGCGTGAAACTATGAAGCAGCGACACCGGTGGCACGGGCTTCGCCGACGCCCTCTAAGGAGTTCCATGGAGCAAACCTTCCTCAAGGATTTCGGCCACAGCTGCGAGGAAGCGCTCTGAAACTTGCGGTCGCCAAACCAAGAACTTGCTAAATCAAATTGTTCAGTACATGATGTGCGTGTTTCAAAAGACTCCTTTTGGCCATGTGCCACAGGTGGCTGACACGAGCAGCCTCTCGGGAAACCTCGCCAAAAAGCCAGCTTCAAAAGTCAGAAAACGAGGTAACACACCTGAAAATTATTGAGACACGGCATACAGGATTCTGGCTCCTGCCGAAAACACCAGATGGTTGCTGACTACTGTAATTTAGATGCGCAATGTTGCGAAATCCTGCCTTGACGGATGCCTAAGACTTTATACCACTAGAGAAGTTGATTCCACATCACCGTCCGGCCCGCCGATGTCTGCACAACCTCCCTTCGAGGGATCCTCAGAACAGTTCGTGACATTCGCGCAATTCCACAAATGCGAAGAACTGGCTTGACAACAAGCGTCTTCAGAGCTGAATGCCGCAAGCAGTGCTGCCTCACTCCTGGACAACAAGGAGAGCTACAACTGTGCCAGAAAAGCTCTTGTTTTGACTCTGACATCGCTGGATTCTCGGGCTCCTTGGAAAGCCTTTGCCCTCTTTGAAGTCTGCTTGGCAGAAGGTGAGGTAGTGGTGGTCGTTGAGCAGGCAAGTCTGACGAGCAACAACAGTCTCTCTCTGCTGCAAAAGGGAGTCAGGAGCCTGTTTGATGGTCTTGTGCCGCTTCAGAATCGACCAGGTACAGCCCGACTCCCACGCGCCCTTCTTGGGGACTTCGCCGGCCGAGCAGTGGCCAGCCTTCGGCAGGCCATACCTCGACCAAGGCCGTGCATCTGCTTTTGGTCGTTAGCCTTAGCCCCTCCCGGAAAAGGCCGAGGAGCCAGAAACCAATGGAGCTGTCAGCCGAGCACCTCGATTCGCCAGGCCTAGTTCTTTGGCCTTTGGAGCCTCGAGGCCTCAAGGGCCTCAAGTTCGGCCGAAAAGCCTGTTTTCTCCATCGCCAGCGAAGAAAGGCGCTTCCTTTCCAACCAGACGGGGATCCCCACCAAGACACTCCGGACCAGGCGGCACGGTGTCCTGCAGTGGCGTTGCAGGACATGCCTAGCTTTATCTGCGAAGCCAGTAGCTGAGCTGATATCTCACTGAGTTCTGCTCCGGATAGCCATTGCAAAGCGCATACCTTGTTGTGTTTCAGACGGTCCAATGTTTCTTCGCGGGTACATCTTGTAGTTCAGCGAAAGAAGCGACACCAAAAAACAAGACCCACTCTACTGAGGCAAGGCACTGGCCAAATGCTGGCGACATTTGCAGCGTGTAGCGAGAGATCCTTCAGCGCCACACAGTCTACTAAGTTACCAAGTCATGGCATGGCCAATGAGCTTGTGCTATGTTTCCAGTTAGTTAGTATCAGAGTACCCTTCTGGTTCCCTTACAGTCTCTCATCGCAACCTTCCAGTAATTAGATTATACTTGCAACCTTACAGCACAAATAGGTTATGCAACAATCATGAAGCATACAGCTGCCGATTTGCCGTGTGTAGTTGTGGTCAATGAAGGAGCTCTGATTCTGGAGGCAGTCCATGCAAATGAAAAGCGCATCGCCTCGCAAATCCGCCACATTCTGATCCTGTCAAGGCCGGCTCTGGGAATAGATCGCACCTGTCCTTCAACCAGTTTCCATGCAGATTATACAAGCAACAGCGTACAACCGTCCTCTATGTTGTAGTCAACTGCTGAGATGCCAGGGTGGAAGACGTATGCATCCTCAGCGCAGCCCCAGAGAGCCATGCATTGCAACTGCAACATTAAAAGTCGACGCCAAAGCTGGAATGCGACTGACACGGCCTTTGCAAAACGCTCGTGTGCTCCAGCGGCAAGACTTCTGATCATTGCTTTCGGTACTCTTCATGGACCCATCCAGGTGGCCACAGTCACCGGCCCAACATCTCGCCCCTTCTCGCACGGCGGGGCCAAGCTGTCGCAGATGGAAGGTTTCTCCAAGAGAGTCTGATCGACCTTCCAAACTGGAAGCCGGCTCCCTAAACCCAATGATTTCTCTCATACACCAGCTGGCCTGAGAAGTCACTTGGCTGAACTGGTAGCTGGCCAGCAGCTTCTTTACCTTTGTGCCTTGGCGGTACATATCAAGTATCGGTCGTTGCACCAGTACCCAGGGCTTGCAAGCAAGATGCCACTGGAGTTGTTGATGGAAATCACTAGCTCCACTGGAATATTTCCATCAGCGCACAAGGTTTGGTTTAAGGTCTTGCTCCTGCCAGCTGCAGCTGTCAAAGGGAGCACATTGCACCACCACAGATTTTCACTACCATCCGGTCGAAGCCCTACTACACCAGGCCACTAGGCAACCAACACGTTCCAATAAGATCCATGCAAAAGGATCGGAAGTCATGCAGAAGGCTCCCGAACCGGAAGCGCCACAGGTCGCAGCTGTGTCCAGCCACGACGTGCGGCCCCACGTATTCCGCTAGTGCTGGATTCGCAGCCCAGGCAAACATGTCGTGGAAGCCTGCAAGGATCGGCAAGGCTCTACGAGATTCGATGGTGATTGCACAGGATCTGGAAACCAGATGCGAGCGAGTGTCGCTGATTTCCAAACATGGGCAGAACACGGCACATTGGCTGATTGCCCCCTGTGAGGTCCCAGGAATGATTGCCTATGCTCCTCGGTTCACTGCCGACGGAAACCGCCCGCCCATTCTCCAGTGACGCACAAACCCAACTCACTTCCAAGCTCGATGAAAATCTCATGCAAAGCGTCAGCATGGTCAAATTGGTGTCCATGCCCTTAATCTTGCCAAGGAAGGGCCGAATTGTTTCCATTCGCATAGCTTTCAAGTCCACATCCTGCGCAAAGAAGCCGGGCCCTTTTGCGGGATAACCTGCCAGCAAGCGCTCACCTAATCATGCAGGCGCATCGGCTTCTCACGACAGTGAATTGTTGCGCCTGAGTCTGTGGACACGAATGTCATTTGTGCCGCAAATCGGTGGGGGACCTGCGGACACGGCGGGTTGTCCCGCACCTGAACAAGGCAAGCAGATAATGTTGGCCAAACTTCGCTCATCTCCGCCACGTTGCATTCTCGGTCAGTACAAACCCCTCTTTGACCCGTGGGGGCGCCTGGTCTGCTGCTCCTGCTGCACTGGACTGCAGATTCTGCTCCACCTCCCGTACCATCTCTGCCGCCTTCTCGATGGGCATGCGGGCCTCAGAACCGTCACACAGCGTATCAAAGCAGCTGCGCAGGAGCAAAAGGGTGCGAGGTCCAATCCGCAAACGTCCCCAAGCTTGACAGCAAGCTTGAACAGTGTTGGCACTATTGTTGGCACAATATGCATAAATGCCAACATCGAGAGATCGAAGGAGCTTCAATGCACATCGAACCTCCGCAGAGAAGCGGTGCTTGTGCGACAGCACGGCAGGCGTGGGGCGAGCTGTGGGACCCGAATAAAAACCGGGATGGTTCTCTATTGATGCCAGATATCCGCATGAAAATGGCAGACACATCAAAGCGTGCAGCAGCAAGGGACACCTTTTGCATGGTGGGTGTGGCTGCCGACTCCCAGAGCCGAAGCCCTTCGGTCGAAGGCTCGGTCCAAAAATGCTCTCGGGTTGGGGTCCGGACAGTCAGGGCCCAAGGCACCTAGAGTCCCGGACCCCCACCGGAGCAAGACCTAGGTAAAGAAAGCCTGTGCCGTTCAACAGCAAGCCGAGGCAGGAGGCAGCCACAGCCTCACCGGGCGCCTTGCACGGGCCCATGGGTGAGGGCAGGAAACTAGTCGAACAAGCGATCATCGAGAATCGATTTCAACAGAGTGAAATGTGACAAGATTGGCGCAAAAGGGAGCCGAAGATCAGATCGGGGTGAAACCATTCAAAGCAGGATGGGTCAGCTCATCAGCCCAAGTGTTGTAGTCCCGCTTGACATGGGAAGGTGCAATCTGCATGCCATGGCGGTGCAGCTGAAGGAGAATTTCCATCAAGATCACCGAGGCAGGCATCTTTTTGGATTTTTAATTGAAGAGTGAGTAAACGTTCCCCTGGTTGTCGCTGACCGGGCGGATGAAAGGCCCAAGCATGTCTGCCCGGGGTGACCTGGTAGCGGAACCAGAAAACGTCCCCTTCGCCGGCTTCTCCAAGTTGGACAGCCAGCCGCCCACGAATGCCGAACCATCGTCCGAGGCGCTCGCATCACTAGCGCGGGCCCAAATGGCCAGAGGTACATAAGGGGAGGCTTGCCGGAATTTCTTTTGGAAGAAAGCATGAAGAAGAGAAGCCAGAGCACGGATCAGCTTACTAGGTCTTCCTGCGTTAAGGCATGCCTTCTTCCAGGCCAAAAAGACTGTAAGAACGGCTTCGTCAAGGGACATGCTGTGGTGGCCCGGCCGACATGACCCCCGCGTTGACCTCTGCCACGAGGGTCTTCTTCCGGCTAAGAGGGGTACCCAAGGATAACAGAAGCGGGAAGATGCGGGCACATGGCCGTGGCCATGAGCTTGGAGTTTGATTTCCGCAGAAGCCAAGCAAAGTCATCAGAAAAGACAAATCCCCAGTCCATCTGAGGGAAATCCGAGTGGCAAATCCGAAGGAGGGCGGCCACACGCCCCCAGTACAGCTGACATTGGCCATGCCATAGGTGCCCACTGTGTTGACCCGCCATTCCTCCCCAACTTGGGCCATTTGGTACTTCCATTCCTGAAACAGAATCTTGTTGCGTCTGTGGGCTGTCCACATGTAGGTCCTCCGTCCCCATGTCCCAGGGGCTCAGGGCCAAGGGCACCTGCACTCGGTCAGGGCCTTCAAATTGCTTCGATGCCAGTGTGCTGTTGGCACCTCCCTGTGATCCGTCGAAGATGGATCGGACCTTGTCCGCTTCATCAATCCCAGCAATGGGGCAGAGATCATCTTCCGAACATCCACAGTGCTCCGCTGCCTGAGCTCGGGTATGGCCCAAAGACCATTCCCATTGGAACCTCTTCCATGAACGTCTCACGGATCTGGCGGCGGCAAGTACGTGTCTCCAGAAAGCTCGCCGGGTGAATGGAGGGTGAGTCGACCCCCACAAAAAACACCAGTGCTGAGGACTTCCGGGTAGGTAGGAAGAGAACCTTGGACGGTTTATTCATCATCAATTCCGGGTATCTCGTACCATGTGGCCCCCAACCTGAGTCAGGTCCATAGGCAAGACGGTTGCACAGTCGGCCCTGCCAATCTTCGATTGGGAGGTTCGTGGCGATGCATGTAGGTCTTCCAGTCGCATGTCCAAACCAACGAAGGTCTAAATGAAAAGTAGAAAACCCCCAATCCTTGATCCAGGACCGGACCACTGGCGTGGCCCAGATCGAGGAACTGGGCCATCCAGAGAGCCTGCCTGCAACTGGGTGATGACGTCCAGCTGGGGAACTCCCTTCCGCCGGACTCGGACACAGCAGCGCAGGGAAGCTGTCTGGGTAGAGGTGTCTGGGCCCAAGCCACCACGCGACTTCGGACGCTACGGAGGTGAACTTTGCTGACCAGGTGCCTTCGACCTTCAGGCACTCGCTCACCCAGCCACCACGTAACGTTCGCGGATAAGCCGGAGGGAGAGCGCCCCCGATGAAGCAAGCAGGACTGGCAGACTGGCAGCCGTCGCAACAGGCGCGGGCTCTCCATCCTCTCGGCCGTTGAGTTAAGGAGATCGGCCGCGGGCCCGGTAGACGAGAGGAAGCACCCAGATGACACTCGAAAGCCCACAGAAACCCACACAACATTCTCCATTTCACTTCGCCCAGCTTGACCTCAGCCGAGGGGGGGGGGGTGCTTGTGGCAGAGCTGGCACGTCCCCTTTGCCAGCTGGGGCGATGCCCTGACGCTTGTAGCTGTACTCCACCGAGAGGAGGTAGTGCTGCTGCAACTGCTTCTTGTAGATCTGGCCAAATCTGTCTCTTCAGGCTGAAGAAGATCTCTGCCTGCAGGGAAGCCAGCTTCTCTTCCAAAACACCAAGGCCCAACTTCGACGAGGAGGGGACCAACCGCCGGCTGTGGGCGGCTGGGCCGCGCCTTTTCTTGGACAACATCACCTAACCTGTAGAGGGCACGCCCGTGGCATCCACCGGGGTCTCCGTTTTCCATCGGGGTCGGCTCCGAAAGGCCATCCTGCATCTCGGTGTCCTTGGCGATCTCTACCACCTTGACTGGGTCGTCCCCCTTCATAACCCACTTGGCCGTGGCCATGTCCATCTCTTTGAGTTTCTCAGAGGGGGAGGTATCATCAACATCCACCTGGGCGAAGGAAGACAGTTAATCTCCACATCCTCGAGCTCGTGAGCTTGAAGGTTGTGGCGCAAGGTCTCCCTTGCGATGGAACCTTCGTCCGGCAGTTTCTCCCATTCCTGATCAAAGTCACGATCCTCACGTGATTGCACGGTTTCCAAGCTGGATGCCCTAGCCTCCGCACTGAGAGCAAAAATGGCATAACCATTCTGGCAGCGTCTCCACACATAACTCTTGCGACTCGGCAGGCTCCTAGCAAGCAGCAGGACATCACGGGGCCAAGGCTCGAGGCTCAGCAACGCGGGGAGAGCAGCACCGAAAGTTTAACAATGGACTACCAGTAGCCGCATGTGGAGTGGCGTCTACACCGTGTTTTTCGTTGTGCAGGACGTCAAGAATCGAGCCATCTGTTCGGCTCCACACGTCTTGGGTCGTTGGCTCCCGCATGACAGTCTCGCAACGATTCTGCATTCCCCCATGCATTGAAAATCGTTCTGCACTGGAAGCCGTGAGTCCACAAAACGCGGAAGTCCAGAGTAACGAAGGCCGGGTCACATCGTAGCTCGCATATTGCCCAAGCAGCGCCAAATTCGCCTGTCTGCAAAACGTCCCTGCATCGGTGCAACAAAGGGCTTCCTGACCGCCTCGGCCAGGGAAAGCAGGCCGAAGGCAATCGCACCGAGCCGACGCCGCGGAGCCATGGCTGTGGCCCGTTTCCCCCGGCTCCGCCCTACGCCTAACTACCCGAAGGTTTGAGCTCTTCGGCCGATAGCCTTCGAGGTCCACTTCAAGCCACGCAGGAGTCGCAGGAAGTAGTCGAAGAACTAGATCATGAGCCTCGTCCTCCCTTCTCTTTAGCTCCAGCTCTTCCTGATTGAAAGAAGTGTGACATGGAAACACAGCAGCAAGCACTGCCGGCACTGCCGCCTGCTGTCTCTGCTGCTCTTGCCAATGCAGGTACTCCTTTCGCTGGCGCTCTTCCACCTGTGCAGGTAAGCAAAGAAGGCTTTGAAAGCTTCCCGCTCGAGCTCAGTGGATGCAACCCTGCAGCCCTGCCTGACGAGCCTCAGACTCTAGCTGCCTGCGTTCGGCCTCTCGTCGTCCTGAGATCTCGCTGTGATGCTGCACAGTATCACCCACGCACTGGAACTAGGATCAACGCATCAAGCACAGTTTACTGCAAAGCTGCCATGCTCTTTCCGAGCACTTGACAGTAATGACACATCGGTCCCTACTGGCACGTAACCTGTACTACTTGTACTGTTCAACTGCAACTTGGTGGCGCTCGACAACCTCAGTGGCAGAATGACAGACTGAAGGGGACTGTCCAAAACGAGTCGGCAACTTCCCGTGCTATCTTACCCAGTTGCCTTCGTCTCGTGCCTCAGATTTCAAGGGCTTCGGAGCTGTTAAGATGGATGTGACTCTACGGGAGTCCCCAAACGAGGCTTTGCAAAGGAGCTGCGAACTGTCCAGCCACTCCCAGGCTCGTAGCAGGCTGTCGTTGCTCCAAGGGTCGCTGTCCGCCAGGACATCGGGTCTGGCCTTCCGAGCCGGACGTCAGGAGCAAAGGGCATTTGGTCCAAGAATGGGTCGAACGGAACCAAACCGAAGCCTGGCGCTTGTGCTGACAGTCTCTCTCCAACCGTCTTAGAAGAGCCTCTCGCTCTCTCTCGCTCTCCGCTTCCTTCCGTCCTTCCCCGCAGAAAGAGTCTGAGTGCTGACTCTCTCAGCTCAATCTCTCGTTCCTTTCCGGAGGCGTAACGAGTAGGAGGCAGCCCGGCAGGAGGCAGCCCGGCAGCCCCTACTGCCCCCTTGCGGGCTTGGAATATCTTGGACAAGACCGTCGAAATGTTTCTGTCCGCGCGAGAAAGCCGTGGCGTCATTCGTGAGTGATTGCACTGTTGCGTTCCCAGGCTCGAATCTTCATCTCTCAGCTGACGGTGTGGCCTGATCCTACTACGGTAGTAATGCAGCTCCTCGCACCACGAAAGATTGATGTCCGGCTTTCCACTTCCAAGAAGGCTCGCGCTTCGAAGCTCGACACCACACGGAAAGCTGCGCTTTGAAGCGCAGAACCCACAGAATGCCAAGCTATACCAAATTTGTCGGAAGAGAGGCCTGCTTGGCAGTGTACTTTTGCCCACACTCCCTGCAATCGCCGACCTTGCTTCGAAGGGCACGCCGGGCCAGCAAGAGCTATATCGCATAGAATGCGCTTCTGCCAAACAAGGAGTGAGCCGATTCATCTTCCGCTGGATCATCAAGCAGACTCGGGCAGTCGCCATCCCAAGTAACTGGACCTCGCCGGCCACTTCGTGCGGCGCACGCATTTACAGCCATCTAGGGTGCTCGCTGCTTGAACCCTCGTCTGAATTATGCAGACAAGATTCCGTCAAAGGCCCCTCGGTCAGCAAAGAAATGCCCGCTGGCCAAGGCCTTGCCAGGATCCAAAGTGGAGTCTGACAGGCCACCTCGAATGCACCGGCACATGTAGCAGTGTAGCCACGTGACAATCAGCACTGCAGCAAATCTTTGAGCCAAGCAACGCGAAGGGCGAAGGCTCAGACAGCAGCAAAGGCCTGGCTCGTCACCTTGGCAGCGGCGAGTCATCCACAGCTCCACCTCAGGAGGGCCCATTGAAGCTCACAAGGCTGATGCATTTCATAGGGCTTTCTGGCCGTGCCTCATCCGCAGCCCTTGCGTGGTCCCAGACGCGGAACTCGGCCAGCTTCCCAGGGAAAGGACCAAGCCTGAAGCCAGCAGTTCTGCCGTGCGCTTTCAAGGTCCACGCTGAAGACATGACGTGTCCGAGCCTGAGTTCAGAATCCATGTTAACCGCCCAGATCTCGCTTCCAAACTCCACCTGAGCCCAGAAGCGATCGTGCCGTGACTGTGGTGACTGCGCAACTTGTCGACCAAGCGCCTGCAAACCATCCTGGAAAAGGCTCACCTCAAAGGCATTTCGACCATCAGTGCCATACCAAGGCAATCTGCCGCGTGGGTTGTCGCGGCGTGCCTTGAAGTCGTTGTCACTGGGACTGAAGCTGTAGGAGATGGCTACGTGCATCCACTTCTTTGTCCTTGCTGCAGGCGCTGCAGGCGCGCTGCGCGCACCGCTGCCCTTATTCTGCGATCCCAAGTCCGATGGATCTCCCACGTATTCCCACACCGGGGAGCTGCTGGAGACGCATCCTCGAGGAATAACTATTTCCACCGGCAAAGTCAAGTTGGAGACCTGCAGGCGTGTTGCGAATCGCCCCCTCTGACAAGCTGCCTGGCCACAGTGCCGCACCTCCGCCCGGCTTCACGTACAGGGACCTCGAGTCACGAGCCATCAGGCATGTGTAACAAGAAAGGCGGCGATCGCATCGATTTCAGACAAGTGCCAGAGCACGCAGAGAACATAGACAGGCTTGTCTCAATGCTGCAACCGCGGTGCGGAAAGCTTCCAACGAGTGAAGGGTCGCCAGTCAGCAAGGGGGTTCGAGCTGAGACATCAACCTGGGTTGCACAGCGTTTGAGAGCCTTCCTAACAGAAAGTGCGATGTTAAACCTAAGGAAAGCAACGTGGCAACGCATCCAGAACTCCACAGTGAAGTCACCTGCCGTTTGCTATGCTGGCCCGCTCAGAGAGCTAAAGCATCCCAGCCTTCGAGGAGTCCAAGAGACGAGGCTGGTCCCAAGGATATGGCACCCGCTGTCAAATCAGCAGATCCACCTGGGGAGCCACCAGCTTTCAACAACATGACTACTACGCTACCAGAACACGTTCTTGTTGTCTTGCTTGTTGGCCTTGGCGTTCATCCAGCTCGAAGCCCTTGAGACAGTCCTGCAGATTCATGTCTTGGCCTCCGTGTCAGGAAGACCCAAGCAGACGTGACTTGGCTTGGCCTGGACGTGACGGGATCCATGGCTATCAGACAGAGCGAACCGACGTCCTCCGCAAGCTTCTGAAGCTCGTAGACCTCTTCAGCTTTGCTGAAGTCCTCGACCTCGACAGCCTGTGCCGCGAAACGGGCTTGACGAACGTGGAGACACCAAGGGAGACGAGCATAAATGCTTCAGTGTCAGGGTCACTGCATCGCCTCGGACACTCGCGCTGAGATTGCCTGATGCAGCTCTTTAACCTGAATCAGTCGTGCCCACAGGGCCGTCCTCAGCTCTGCCAGTCCGAGGCCACAAGTACTTTTCCACAGCTACGAGTAACTGTTGTCCCAAGGTTTGCCTCCTTCCAGCCCCTGCTCTGGAGAACGAATACGTGCCAAGTAGCTGTTCTGCAGCCCTCAGCCACAGCACTTGATGCTATTCTACCCACTGCTGGCAGAGACGAAGATCCAGCTCTGGGCATGCGGCAATGTGTCCCGCAGGTTTTTGAGCTGCTTCGCCTTTGCTCTACCGGCGCTTTTAACGATGACTAGAAGGCAACGGATGCTCGTCGTTTACTTGTGAGGCATAGCCCTGGCAGATATCTGCAGCCAGCGTCGTTCTCGAACTTGTACGCCACGGTAGCCTCGGCCATGGCCCTGATTGCACAAACCTGCCAGGAAAGATGCATCCTCCTCAGATTATCGCGCTTGGAGGCACGGTCTGAGTTTCGGAAGGCCTTGGCTTGAAGCACGTCTGAGAGCGGCAGCTCGTGGTCTTTCAGCATGCAGCCTTTCATTACTGTCATTGTATGGCCATAACAAGCCGAAGTCTGTGCGTCTAAACAAGCTCTGGGGCGCTGGCGCTCTAACTTCGTTCTTACCAAGCTCAAGCCAGTGGCGGTCTCAAAATCCTCGGGGCACATGCAGATGAGTCTCACAGTCCGAGACATGCATTGCAGATTGCCGGATTCCACTCCTCTCCACTGGCTGTGGACGGCTTGGCTGCGATGACGGGGACCGCCCTCCAATCTCTGATCGTTCTGAAATGTGCGGCACAACTCACAGCCGAACCTTGCTGCGCGCTCTGAACGTTCTGCTCGCTCGGCACGATCTGCACTTGTACTCCGCGCTCGGCCTGCGAGAGCGATTTCTGACACCAGGCAGTCAGTTGAGCGGTTGCGAAAGGCTCCGAGCGCGCACCTGAGTTCCGCTTGCCGGCCTTCAAGTCTACAGCTTCTAGAAGCAGCCTAGCAGGTTCGCAAGTCTGCGCGCCTCAGGGGCAGCCGCGGGTTCAAACGAGGCCTGTGAACACAACATGACAATCTTTTCGCTTAGAGCGGCTAGAAGGTGCGCCTGGATAGGGGTCGTTTCAGACTCGGGTTCCTTCTGTGGCGGGCTTAGCCTCAGGAAGTCGGAGGACGGAGTACGAAGAGATACAAGGAGACGACGGAATGACAGAGGTGACAGAAGTGACAAGCTTCTGGTGCCCAATGAGTACTCTGGATGAGTAGCTGCTCCTCGCCCGACCAGGCATTTATGTTGCCCTGCTCGCCGTCGTAGCCACGTCCCACCTAATCTTCACTTACTGTTCAGTCGAGGAAAGCCGAGAGCTGAGGCCGACTCGCGCAAGGCTACTGGTGCCCCGACTGACTGTCGCTGCGCAGTGCGATGATCAAAACTTGGGAACTCCTGAGCCGGAGGCATTCGACACCTCTGGACCCATGTAGTCTTCCTCTTTGCTTGGTGTCGATGCTACCGCATCCTGACAACTCGAACATCACAGCTCTTGCATGCGGCGAGCCCAAACTCGCCAGGCATACCAATCGCGGGTCGCCACCTGCACTCAATTACGGCTAAGCACGCTTTCACCATGTCTCACTCCGCACACCAAAGGAATGGCATTGAGAACTCCACTGCCTTCGTTTGCTTGCGAAGAGCAGCAGGCTGGAAGCCACGACCTCCTCAGTGCAGCCACAACGTGCCAAGCGCGACGTTGCAGGGTGGCCACCCGCGGCGCCTCTTTGCGCGCGTTGGCCTGGAGTCCTCCATCGCCTGCCACCCTGCAACACCCAGATCTCCAAAAAAAAACTCCGCTCAAGAAAAAAACAATATGAAGCTGCAGCCTGTCATTGCGGTCGAAAGGCCAAGGCCAGGAGGAACGAACAGCTTTGAGCCATGCGGCGCAAAACATGTTCACCGTCATGCAAAAATGCCCTGACATGGGCTCTCCCAGAAAAATCTGCCTGCACTGGCACCACACTCCCTGGCCACAGTGGGGCCTCAGCCGCCTCAAAGGTTGCCATGAAGTTCTCCTGCATTTTGGGCATCCAACAGCCGAGCAAGCGAGGCAGCTCCCCGAGCGAAAACCTACGCACACCTCACTTTTCTTCACAGCTGCAGGACACTAGTCTCAAAGGCTTCGTCTATCTTGGCCGTCCGCGATTTATGACGTGGCCGCCGCTGCTGTTGTCATCTGGTGCGGGGCCCGACAAGCCTCCTCCGCGCTGTGCCTTGGTGTACTGAGTATACATCACATAAAGCATGAAGGCAAAGACTCCCATACGGATGGCATTGGTGTTGCCGCTGATCCACAGCAGAGCGAGTACTCCTGCTACGATGAGGTAAATCATTGGGACCTCGCGGTCCATCACCTGTACTGTCCTCCCATAGATGCCACAGGCCCGCGCCAGGTCGCCGACTATGACATTCTCCCCGTCACCCACGTCTCCTGCAAAGCCGCCTCCACCCGCCCCTGCACCTGCACCTGAAGCAGTGCTGGGAGGGTTGGGTGGCGGTGTTGCAGACGCCTTCGCGGTTGGAGGGCGCCGCTGCGTCACGGAAGCCTGTGCCCTGGGGTCGTTGTCTGGCACGATATCCCCATTCGCCAGAATTTTCACCATGACCTTTCTATCTAGCGCTGGCCAAGCAAGGCCTTGGGCCACTTCTGAAGGAGATGCGGGAGTCAGAAGATGTCAGAAAGGTTGTGCTGCGCTCGTGCCCTGTAACTCGTCAGCAGCACAAGGGAACTGCAGGTCCTGAAGTGGATTGTGAACATAATCTGCCTCGCAAACTCTTGGGGCTAGCCAAACTGCCAGAGACTTTGCAACAAGGACAGTGCCGCATGCCTCATTTCCAGATGGCAGGTGGGTCTGTGCCGGGAGCACCTGCTAGACCCTTCTTTCCCTTTCTGCTTGTCGCCTACCATTATGTTACGACTAGCAGCAGCAGCAGCAGTAGTGGCAGTAGTAGTAGCAACAGCAGCACTCGCACTGGCACTGGAGTGCGGGGAGTAACGGGAACCCCTTGGCGAGTAAGGAAAACCAATTCAGCACACAGCAACGGAAACGGGCGCTAGAAACAGGAACCGCACCCCGAGCGTAACAGAAACTATCCCTGG